ATATAAAATTGTGTATATATAGAATATAAAATTGTGTATCAAAATAATGCCCTTCAAAACAAAAACCACGATGGAGGACTGTAAGCCAGCTCTTTCTTTAGGACTGTGCCTACTTGTCCAGGATAACAAAGAGAAGGAAGGGAAGTTGGGAGTTATCCTGGAAGCTGTTATGGGGATGGTGAGTGCGATTGCCAGTTTGCCTTCTGGTACACGTGGAGCGTCTAGCGTGGCAGCTGCAACATGAGCTCAAGATTCCAGCTGTGCCATCCAGCCATAAACATGCACACCCCACCTCACTAAGGCAGCTAACCATGTGCCAGAAAGCTGAAACATGCCAGAAATATTCAGCTTTCAAAACGGGGAAACATATGGAGAATTTGCCTATGTAGCTCTTGTACACTATGTAGAGAGGGCTAGAGAGCGCACAAGAGCTACATAAGCAAATTCTTCATACGCTTCCCCATTTTGAAAGTTGAATATTTCAAGAATGCCCCTTCTCCTTCTGAAGCTGCTGAAATGTACAGTATTTTCTGTGTCCTGCACACCTTCAACTCCTTAACAATTTTGTGCACCTGGGATACCAGGATAAGAACAGTGGAACTTGTGGTGGGGCTTGAGTTTCTTGGCTCCCGTACAGAGTAGAAGAAAATTACCTTGAAGGTGACATGCAGGAACTGTTACGTAGGCAAAAGGGGCTGCAGTATTTTTTGAAGGTAACTTTCAGAAGCGGTTCAGGCAGACACTTCCCTAATACACTGAACTATAAGAAGGAGGAGGAGGTGCACCACAATCATACTTGCAAGATTCTGTTATTAGAGCCAGTCTCCATAAAAGGAGTTTCAGCCTTTCTGTGGAATTGATTTCTTGGTCTGGTCTACCTAGTGGGGCTGTCAGTCCCCAACAAGCCCAGCAGTTGGTCCCCTTTCTCTCCAGGAGCGCCTACAGCAAGAGGAGCGCCAGCGGCAAGTGGAGCAGGATCTGGACTATCTGGCGCCCTTCCTGATTCAGATGGGCGGTGTTGAGAAGATGACCAAATGGCTCGCTTTGCGCCTGAAGGAAGACTGCCTGAATGATTTCAAGCATCGTCTCGTTGACAAGGCCAACCTCATCCAAGCACGATTTGAGAAGGTATTTAGGCAGTCCCTGGACCTCTGGCTCTCTATGGCCTAAACCAAAAGCCGGCTTGCCTAGATGGGTCTTGCTACTTCTTTGGGCCTCCCTGCTCTTCAAGAGCTTTTGTTGATCTGTATGGCACCTTTTATTTCCCAAGTTCCAATAAAGCCAAATAAAGAGACTTGAGACGAGGCTTCTTTAAG